TCTAGTAGGCTACTGAGTTTTGATTTTAAACGTTTGTTTAGCCAACAGCTACTTGGGGATTTAGTTATTTCACTAGTGCAGTTGATAGTACCTAAATTTTTAATCTTATTATCTAAACTATGTTCGTATTTTAGGCTGCTAATATGATAAACTAATCCATAAACCCAAATACGACTAGAAAGAACAGCTATGATGGGTTTATTGATAAATGTTAAAGGCGATCCAGATGATTTCTAAATTTATAAGACATGGAGATATAGTGTAACGTATGTATGGGCCAGGTTAACATGCAGGTTGTTGACGTATATGACGATTTAAAAATAATGAACATGACCAGAAAATAATTTTAAAGTTTAGACTGCTTGTGAAACTTCAGGCAGGAATATGATGCGTTATAAACATTCCATAAGAAGTTACTGCATTTAGCCTAGGGACACTTACAAATATATAGCAAAAGGAACCGGAAAACATATACATGTTAAGTAAAAAAAAATCATCCAGTAAAATAGTAGAACTCGCCTGGGTTAGTTTTGAAAATTAGATTATTCAGTGGACGACATATATAACGCCATTCGTGAGGAGTAGTAATGATCCAAAAGCATCCAGAATAAAACATACAGTATGGCAATCACTTCCAGGGTGCTTGATGCTGTTGAGGTCTTTGGGACTCGCTCTGATCAGAACAACTGAATGAATACAGATAATTGTGTGTGCCATCTAAAATGAACTTATGATTGCAGAAAACTTATAGCTGAAACTCACAGTATGTTTTTGGAGAAGTGTCATCCTCGTTGTTTGGCAATGGAACTCGAGAATATGAAATTAGGCAGGCAGTGGTCGGAAGAAAAGATATTACAGGATAGTGCATCGTTTAAAACAGGATGAGGTGTTAAGTGAAGGAACACTGAGAATTAGATCCAGATAACTATTTAGTCCTTGATCGCATTGTTAGTCAATGTATATTTACGCTATTTACAGGTCATATTTGCTAGAGCTTGATGTTTAAACAAGGCTATGTCGCTGAAGCATGTAAATGCTATTACAGCTAATTAGTTGATATAGATGATCAACTTTTATTACCGATTGAGCTAGTTTGTCATGAGGACTAATAACTATAACATCACGATAATGCATGTGAGCATTAATCAGAGGACTATTAGAATACAGGGTTAACATAAATATAAAATCGATCGAGAAAGTTGAAGTGGAAATAAGGATTAATGATAATAGGTTGCGTTTCTTTAGTTGGGCTCACCAATGTAGAATTATGGTCTAATATGATATTAGTACTGCTCTAATAATAGACCTAATCCCAAAATTGTAGATTCGTCATGATATAACTGCCTAATCTATAAGATCTTACGTGGAAGTCACACCATCGACTACACCAACTCACTGTATCGTATCAATTACCAATACCTGACGAGGAACAAGGTTAGGCTAGAGAAAGAACAATATATTTAATATGAATAGAAGATATAAAGTAACACTGAAATGGACCACGCCTGCATGGACGAGCCATGCCACTCGATCAACTCCAGTCCATTCAATTCATTGTCCGCGCCTTCTCCATTGTTAGGTATTTCTCCGCGTTAAATATTGAATATCTATTTTCCGAGTAGTCTCGTGCTCACAGCTTTGTGGATTGTGTGGCTATTGTTCAATGCCACTACAAAGGCTCAGGTCTAATTTGATTCTCTACTTTAAACTACTCAAAAACCTTACTTATTCAACATATAAGATGGTTCTTGCTAGAGATTCACATGAATACGAACTTCGGAACAAAGTATCTACCGTCACAGTTGAGAAATACAGATCAAAAACTCGGGAAAACTTCTTCATCAAGTATGCAATAATATGGAACCGTCTTCCCTCCGAAATACGCATGACAGATGAATTACATAGGTTTGTAAAACTGCTTGATCAAGCTCTCACTTGCACTGATCTAGCACGTACGAACAAATCTGCGCCCCACTCAGACATCATAGGCTCTCTACATGTCTGGACCAAAATGGACTTCAAGTTCAGTCTGCCTTATTTTTCCTACTTTGCAGGTGTATTAGTTACTTTTTCCACCCTATTCCTTCACTTGAAGTAGACAGGTAACTCACTGAACTTATCGATACTGTTCAACTAAACTCGGTCGCTAAAGGACACTCACTACCACCATAAAAATCAAGAGAACCGCACAATCGACTGCCTACTACCAGTGGTCTTGCATCTATGGAGCCTGTTACCCATCAGCTAGTTAGGACAACACAAAATAACATCAGAACCAAGTTAATGTGAGTTTCTTCCTGTTTATTCTTTATTAGCTTTTTACTCATCTGTACACTATGTTGACTAGCAATTAATATTATTTTTCCACTCGTTACCTTATCTACAACTCATACACTTCTATACTCTTCCGCCTGCTTTAATAAACAACTATCCTATATTATACCCTTCTGAATGCCTATACTCCAACTGGCAACTTATACTTTATACTATAGTCAATTAAAGCACTACATCGATGTCTTACCCGAAGTCCATAACTTGTAACTGCCTGATAAGCTTGTAAAGTGGTACTTATAGAAATAGTGTTTTCCAACAGGATGTGAAACACAGAGGATTGTGTGAGGTATGACATATCCAAAAATAAGATAAAATGAGCCTGACATCACAAAAAGAGAGAAAGTGGAGTTACTGATCAGCAAGCATTGATGGTGAGGGCGATTACTTCAGTCCACCCGTGTTTGTGGAGCAGAACATTTTGTATGTATCAGGCTCTTTATGACTGAGAATAAGTCAATCAACCTGTGATATAGATTGTGTTCCTACGCTTACCACTCAGACTCATGCTTCTAATTTTATGCTGGATTAGCTATTCTACCAAGACAACCTATAACATGCTAACTCGGACTTTTACACTAGGATTGTGTGGCTGGCATCGGATGGACAAAATAAAAAAAAGAAAGAGGAAATTAGACAGTAAAAGATATAGTTATTAGTATACTTAACACTTCACCTTCTATACGCACACTTCCTTCTAATAAACCGCTGTCCTTGTACCAACCTTGACTTCTCTTCCTTCATGTGAGCTTACTACAACGTGCTAAACAACACAGCTCATTGTTCTTTATAACCACATTCCCTTATATGGAGCCTCTAACTTCATTTCATTCTAACAAGAAATAATATGAATTTATTCTAATTTATTACACCTATGTCTGCTCTACTACACAATGTTAAGCAACGTTTCGCGTTCATATCCAAGCGCCTTGCTGCTCTTCTGTTTCTCTTTTCTTTTCTTCAGAATCTTGCTTTGAGCGCACAGCTATGGAACTTCTGACGTCTGGAACAAACTTGACGTACGCGTCTCCTCAAGGTCATAGTTTACAGCAAGCGCTCTACGAGTCTACTTCATAACAACTATAAACTTAATAAGTTGGGAAGCATGATGTGTGCCAACAAATGTTGTAATTTATATATCATGCCTGTAAAAATTGGCGTGTACCTGATCATGAAGAAATATATTATTATTATTCACTGCATTTACATGTTTTTTCTGAACTATATCTATATTTTTCTAGTCGATAGTTGGTTATGGCGGCTGCCACATTGATTCGCTCCTCTTTTTGATTATGCAGCTTGAATCGACTAGAGTTATGAACTCGAGCAATTTTCGAGAATCGAAAACACGAAATTAACGAATTTAAATGTTATCTTGCAAACAATCTGTCTAGAAAGTATGGAGTAACATTTCTATTTTGGTGGTGTAGATCACCAACGTAGATGATCTATATCGAAAGTGATTGGAGGCCTACTCGAGTTAGACGTGAATAGTGTGACAAACCAGCTAACGTCGAAGTCACACCTCATGGTCAGTACCTTACGTGGACTACCCCATTGACGCATCAAGGTACCATAGACGCTTTGAAGACTGTACAACACAGAGGACGTTATTACAGAAATATATTAGTTAAAGTAGATACAATCGAAAGTAAGACCACTGTAGCATGGGCCAGTCCATGGTATACGATTAACTGGTGCGCGTTGGTTGTCCCTGACCTTGACGAGGATCGATAATTTGCTCGATAATCAATGACCCAACTGCCGGATGATTTGGCTAGGGCTTAGTGACATTTCGCTGGCCCTACAGTAGGAACATTTTGTTTTTGCACTTGGTAATTATCATATATCTTCTATCAGTTTACCTATGTAGTGTAACTTAGACTTGACTACTGGCTGAACGATTATTGGTTGAATAACAGGGCAATAGTATTTTTCTCGGTTATTGTACATTTAAATTTATAATGAAATTTAGGACCCACATTCACTCATTAACGTTGTTTTAATTTCGACTGGGCGATATCACGTATCTTAATTAAACTAGACAGCTAAATATCGACTTTCCTATCGAGTCACCAACCGTTGGAATTCATCATCTAAACACGTGATTGGAGCTCCATCTATCTACGCATTCAAAAGAAAATTAGATCAACCGAGAGATCACCATTACTAGGTATAACACAGAACATCCAACCTCCTGTACCTTCCAAATAAAACTGCATCTGGATTGAAAATGCCACAGGTATTCGGAGTTTGACAACACCTTAACCAGTGACACCTAATACGAATTGCACCTACCAAAGGAAATAAAAGACAGAAGCTTTTGAAGATGTATTTGATAGGTTATTAATATCGAGGATCAATTGATCTATACTGGCTGACGATTGCAAGGGATGTTGAACAAGACGTTCCCACTCGTGGGATGCATGGATGCATGATAGAGCGCTTTTAGCTAGGCGAGTCCATTGAAAATGATGTGTTTGGCATCCAATGTCGAAAACTTACAGGGCTATTTATTTTGGGGATTTATTTACCACTACACGACTATCAATTAATCAACGTTTTATCTATCCATTAATCAATGGTCTTCTATTAGCCAATGAATTATCACTTTATTATTTTCACATTGCAATCAACTAACGTTCTACCTGGTAATGTGACAGCTGCTAGTATCTGGAAACCGTACTGCCCTGAGAAAAACGCTCGCACTCAACTACAAAATTTACAAATCCACAAGTAACTACGTAAAGGAATGGAGTTAATGCAGTCGAGATTCTATAATGGCATCCAGTAGACATTAACAAATATCTGAGGCCATACTAAATCACGAAGAAGAGAGCTGAATTAAATCAATCGGTTTACACATGCTTGCGATAAAGATATTGGATATAGGATATAAATGCTCATAGCCTAAATTTGTGCGTTACTTTGTCACGGTTTTTGAAGAGTATGTTATAAACTGAGTTCTGCAACATAGGCAGCATTTAAGTGTATAATTAGCAAATTAGGGATCCTTTTTCATCTTTCAATGAACTGATTTTTTCTGCTTCTAAAGTCCTAATAGGGTTGGATATTAAAATCTGAAGTTATAACTTCTAACTATATATAGTTAGAAGTTAGTGATCATATGATGAACTGATCCCAACTATAATACAAGGAAATCATAGAAATAAGCTTTTTTGAGCTTACAAATGTGTGTTAGTGTTAAATAATCACCAACTCGTCAATTATTTTCCTTCCACGTATGACGTGGTATTGCCTATATTGTAATTCCTTAATTTTCCGATTATGTGACCATAAACCTATTGTATAATGTCATATGAATCGTTTTATGAAGCGGAATTGCACAAATAGAATCCGTTCTGTGTTGTTCTGTCTCGACTGTCGGGCTAATCAACTAACGTAAGAGACTGGGATCCTGAACCAATAGTCGTTAGATATTAATCTCAGCCATTATCTAATTGTTATTGGGTTTTTAATAATAGAATAGCAGTTGTGTCACTGGCCTCACACAGGCAATCTCTACATGATAACAATTGCTCAAACTAAATCCCACGACTGCTGCATGGACACACACACTATGTAAGAAATATGTGCTTTTCTTCATCACATCGCTTTTATTGGCTAGAGTGGGATAAATAATGTTTCATAGCCACAAGACAAAGTATTTTGCCTGTCCATCAAGTCGTTTTCCGTTTTTTAAGCCTAACTTTTCTCATCAAGTTTGAGTTACTGATAATGTCCAGGAACCAGCCACATTTGTACATGTTTTTTTCACACATTTTTAGGTATTATAAATCTTATTATTTTCGTTTTTGTCTATTCTCTCGATTCATTCTGACCGTTTTATTGGTCCATAGTCCGATTCGTGTAGTTATTCTGGTTTGGGAACCAGGTTTTGTAGAGCCCTTGCATAATTATGTAGTTGACAAACTATTCATGTAGACTTGATCTGTTGTATTTCTTCCCATCGGTCTTTTACAAACAAAAGGCACATTTTGTAAGGTTACTTATAATTACTTTTTACAAGAAAGTTCTTTATTTTATTTAACGCAACTGGGAAGCGCTTTATAAACCACCAGGTTATCAATTTTGTTATAGGTTTACTAAGCGTTAGCCTATTCTCATTGTTACACTGTTTTCCTAAGTTTGCTTTGATAAATATGGATGTGTCGTAACTTTCAATTTCATTTTTCTAGTAATTTCAGCCTCAACAAATTAGCACAATTTTCGCTATCATTGGAAAAGATTTTGTAGAAAGTTGGCTGGATCAGTCGTCCAGTTTCTGTCAGTGTGATTAAAATGTCCCATGTTTTGCGTAATGTACAGTTCTTCCATCATTTGAATTCATTCAAACGTTATCTCAAACCTTTATTTCTGAACCGTAAGAAGCTTTTCATTTTATAGGTTTAATAGACTCAATAAGAAAGTTTAATGAAAACTCCACCCCTGCTTCCAAAACGTAACTCTAAATATATTATGTATTTTAATGTTTAATTTTAGAGTAAATGTTCGATTTGTTGATCGAAATGGTAACACCAGACATCTTGAAGGAGAAGTTGGAGATAATTTGATGGTACTGGCCCGCCGGCATAATATTGAAATAGAGGGAGCTTGTGAGGGTTCTCTGGCATGTTCCACTTGCCATGTCTATATTGATCAAAAATTTTATGATCTGCTCCCACCTGCTTCTGAGGGGGAGGAAGATATGTTAGATTTAGCTGTTTTCCTACAAGAAAACTCTAGGTTATGTAAGTTACACGTAAATATCCTTTTTCCCAATAGTGGTTCGGGTTGTTTCATATTTGTCTTTCTGATTACATTGTCTGCACGAATAAAAATCCGTCTGACCACTGTTATTACCACCTAGTAATACATTTAAGTTGTGACATTTTTTGAAACCTACGGCCTCAAATTTAACTATTTAGGGTTTTGGCAATCAAAGATATTTCCATACTTGTTGTGTACATAGAGACTTTGTTGCAAGATCAAAAGTTTAACGATATTTTCACACTAGCAGTTATCTTGTAGTATATAAACGCATGTAAATAATTAATAATCACGCGGTAATATAGTAAAGACAACATTACTGAATGTTGGGTTACTTCATCAGTTCTGTTTTTTGTATACACGTAACTCAATATATATTTTGTGAAGACAAGCGAAGTCTAATTAGCAGAATTAAGTAAACTTAATTCACCCAACAACTATCTTCAAGGTACAAACAAATTCGAGTGTAAATAAGATTATTGAAATAAACCGAAAGTGTCAAAACTTGTTTGGTTCAATGAGCTCAATATATCAGATGTTTGCTGTTGTTGGGAAGAAAGTTCTAAAACTGGTAATAATACGTATAGTGATAGCATAGTTAATTTCTAAAAATATTAACTCTTAACTACTGGACTACGAATCCAAACATCGCTCCACTTTCTTTTGAGTAGCCTTGTGTCACCAGCTTTAAACTCCATTATATAAACCTGGTCTTGGTTATTAAATTACGTTAAAAATTTTAGGAATATATGAAAGTGCTGTTTACTGCACTAATATAATAAAAGTTATCCAAGTTCAAATAATCGAATTAAAGAAAAATACCATGACAATACAACCAGGTCAACGTAAATATCAATAAAATATTGGGTTATTGACTTTATTTTACTGTAAAAAAAGTCATGTTGTGTAACTGGACTTTTTTCTTGAAATATAAGTGCAATATTTTCAGACAGTCAGTCATTACCAATTTAAAATCTGAGACATGTGCGCCGGCCCTAGTTGCCATACTACATTAGCACAACTAGACAAAAATAGCACCATAAATGATAAGAAATTAAGATAATGTAATGTCATCAATAGTGAGGACGTAATAATATGCGTATAATTCGGAAAGACAGAATTGAAGGGTTTGTGTGAAGGAACACTGAAATTCCCAATCGACAAAAAGATAAATTGTGGGTGCATCTGCCCCATGATGAGCGATTCTGAGCCAAATCACCCAGTCTTCAAGCAGATTTCAACCAGGTAATCTACATTTACCAACATGGTTCAGACCAACAGCTACTGACCTCATCTACTGATGCCATGTCTTGGTTCGGTCACTGCTAGCTTTCTTCTAACCTACTGCTTCATCAACAACACAGGTCTTATTTTCACGTGACTTCCTATCCCTCTAATTATTACTAATTTTTTCTAGGTTTTTTATGGTTATCTTATAACCGATGATAAACAGATAACAGACACCTTACTGGGGGTTACTCTTTAATTATTGTATGTCTAGAATCATACAAATAGGTTTATTTGTACAAGTAGTGATATATATCATCTAGTTTACTTTAACATACGTGCAGAATAAAAGGAGTGCCTGTCTAATCTGATAAAGAATGTGCTATTGGTCTCCTATGAGGGTAATAATTCTGTTTATCTTCTTATCCTTGAGTAATATTGCTGGTAATCAATATTTAATGCTAGTCAGCTTCCATAAGTCCACTTTAGCTCCCATTCAACAACATGGTACATAAATATTGGGTTATTAGTGTTCTGCTTCGTTTGTTTGCCTATTGCTTATTAAAAGAGGTATAATAGCTGATAAGTAAACTCCTGACGACCTTTATTCTCTTTTTTAAAACATTCATCCAGAAAATATAGTTGATTTGTGCTTCAGTTCTCCACTTCAAATTTGGTGTCATTAAGAAAACCATGTGAAATGTGCTTTAATAGACCACTTAAATAATATATCTGACCATTCATAACGCGGAAATATTATGGAAATGTCTCGTATAAAATCCCATCCTACTAATTTCAAATATTACTAGTTCTGCCTTCAGTCTCGCGACAGATGTGTTGGCGTCTAATGGTCGCGATGTTTCACTCATAGTCTGTGTATTATTGGTCCTTAAATGTAGTTAAGATTATTTTAGTGCATTAACTTAACAAGATTTTGGGCTGAATTCTAGGTATAAAGCAACCTCCTGAGTATTGAATGATAGCTGTCACTACTTGCAAATGAATATTCACAGGGATGTCTTTAATTAGTGCTGTGTTAGCAGTTTAGCAACCTATCAAATGTTTACAGGTTAGCTCGAGTTTCTAGTTGGTGACCAAGGACTGAGTTTACATATGGCTAAATTTATTGATCTCAAGGACATGTCGAGTTTAATTTCGCTTCGACCGACATTCATCCAATAGTTTTAGATCGTTGCGCATAGTTCTACTAATTATACTCGGTTTCCAAGCCTCTTTACTATCTAACATTTTAATTATTCAGTTATTTGAATTTAAATGCGTATATTTAAATTGATCTTATAGAGTTAGTATATCTTTGTGTGCAACTCTTTCATCTTGCGTTTAAATAAAGAGTTTTATTATCTATTTCATTTAGCCTGCCAAATAGTGCTGACCAAAGAACTAAATGGAATGACAATCACTTTGCCAAAGGCTACAAGAAATTTCTATGTTGATGGACATATTCCACAACCTCATTAGTTATCATCATCTTAAGATAACTTTATGTATATTGTATATAATAGTAATATCAGAAAAATTAAATAAAAGAAACATTATTTTCTGAAACTTGCTCCTTCTGCATTTTACTGTAATAGTCAGTTTTCAATTGGCATGTTGATATTTTTCATTGTTATTTTTTTGGTTCCGTTAGGTTACATTTATTGATATACCACATTTTCATCTGATTTGTTACACCATCTGTTTATTATGAAACTATAGGTTATTTAGTTCTGTCCTATTTAACTTAATTTGTTCATTGGCAGAGCATACATGTACAACTCGATCATACTCCTAAAGAACGAATCATATATATGTCGGTTCATAAATGATTATTTGATTAGCTGTACAATAACATGTAATTGCATTACTTCATGGTGTCTATTCAAATTCGTGAAGGATAATTATGTGTTTATGTTAAGATTGTTTCCAAAAAATTAATGTCCAAATGCATTATACAACTTAGTGGTCATTATGTGTACCATTCAAATCATAAGATATGATATCCGTATTCAGTTAACCTCTGAAATACGTTATTATTAACACGGAACCTGAGATGAAGTATTTAGAAAATTGTTTGAATGAAGATGTTGATTCATAGATGTACTCTTACAGAACAAACTCTCAGTCAGTCAAACGCAACGTGGAACCTAGAACATGTATACATTTTTTTAAGTTCTCATACTTTATTAGCACAGCGAGATAAAATTGTCAGAGAAGATCCCAGAGTAGTATAGATAATAACCGTATTAGCAGTAACAGGATGAATTAGGCACCGAAGATACAATTTTAAAAGAAAATATAAATCAGTAAAATGGCGAGAGAAATTTGTGAGGGATTTAAAAACTTATGATTCAAGAGAAGACAAAAAGTGAATTGTAGGTTATCGTATACACTTAAATTATAAAATATTATTACTCTTTTGGCAATGCAACGATTTTTGTTTGAATAATGTCGAACATTTTAAGGTTTTGTTATCAATAAGTTGGATTCCAGTAAAATGATCGTTCATATTTTAACTATTTGATAGGTACTTTAGAGCCACAATGTTTAGTTTTGAAATATGAAAACAACTAGATTTTGAGTTTCCCCAACAGATCATTATCCTTTTAAGAACTCAGACATAATCAAGGTAAAACCTGGGGAAAATACCTATCGGCTCAATTTCACATCACAGCGTAATGGGATGAGACTAACAATATGGATAGCGAAGGTATTGACATAATATTAGTTCCAATGTTAATAAGAAAGGCTAAACGTAGAGATTGATGCTTTTATAGGATATACGGATTGTTGCTTATAGTGGAAATCAGGATGCGCGTTTTTTTATTTGCCACTAGTCATTTGAATGTGCCTGTATATCAGTGTTGATATTCCCGTTGAGATAAGAATTCAATTCCTTTCACTCTAAATGTATCGAGGCAATACTCCCAGGAAGTATATATGCCAGAAAAGACTGATCGAAATTCAGTCCTGAATAGTAATATAGGATTATTTAAACCCTTACTAATAATAGTACATATTATACAGTTAAAAAAGAAATGGAACAAGGGATTAGAGTATAAAACTCAAGCTTTGGAGAAAACTGAAGAACGAGTACGTCTGCACTTTTGCGATAGATCTACCGTATCACTTACCTTTCTTTCAATCTACTATCCCATCTTATTTACATATATTAATCGCTGAATGGTAACCCATGTAATGTTTGTTTACTTAATGCTAATTAAATTTTATCTAGCCAGTTACTATATGCCTATCAGTCTGTCTCTAATTTTGACATTGAGTACTATGATTCATTGTCTCACCAGGCGCATCAGTTTACTGAAGATTTCAGATACCCTTTGTTGACGAGTCTAAGTTTATTGAAAACCTAGGGATTTCGTAACTTTCTCCGGTCACCTAATGTTGGATTTTGTCGTTTTCTTAGCAATAGCTTCTTTTGCAAATCTGCAAGCTTAAAGAAAAACTAAATAGTCGTTAAGCCTTCATACAGTTCTTTCTTCTAATAATTTTTATTAGATCAAAAACAATAACGTTTGCAAGTGGAGAAATGAATTCATTTTACTTTTCTGGGTTTCAATAAGCTACAAACAATTCAGGTTACAGTGAATAATAAGGCTTCAAAAAAGTTTATTAGTGCTTTATTTAATAGAGTCGAGATGTATGTTTGAAACTGGATAGAAAACTTGACTAATTTTATCCACGTTTCCTATGTCCACTGAGTATATCTTACCCAGTGCTTCCAATCACTTTTCCGTCCACTTGCTCAGTGCCATATATTAAGATATAATTTCACCGAACAGTCCATCTCAGAAAGACCACTATTGCAAACCTGGAAGGCCGTTTTGTCCTGGCGTGGGACTCCTCAGTAGTGCACGCCCACTACCCCACGCACGAATGCTTAACCTCTAGACCACTGAACTTGTATCCAACAGTTCGACTCCCACATACAAGAGAGTACAACTTTAATGAAAGTTGGGACTTGAAATGAAATTTACAATCGTAACCTTCAGTACTTACCCATTAAATGGACGAAATAACTGAAACTGCTGGATACAACACACTAAAATTTGGGAGCGTTCCTGACAAATCAAGCCTAAAATTTCTCATGCAAGAGAAAACATTCAATATAATATTCATAGTGGTTTGAACCAATACTTAGTATGCTGAAACTTTATTTGTACAAAATATTGAAGGGTACATTACAAGTAATTATACTAATAATAGAAATAACCGATTACACAGTTGAACAACATAATTGGGTTAAAATTAACCCAGTTAGGGAAAAGAAATTAAATTGATACAAAGAAAATTTATACAGGTGCTCTGAATGCACACTTAAGAGACTACTTTACATATCGTACAAACTCGTTTATTAGATTAGTTCTTATAATCTCATTATTACTTAACCATAATGCTGCTCGAATTACATCTAAATGCATTTCTACTGTTTAAGAATTTCCTGAAAGAATCCGAATTCGTTTTCATTTATTATTTTCAGCATATTTCTTTTAACATTTTACCTGTAATAATAGACCTTTTCTGAGCTATAAAGATTTTCTAATATCATGTTAAAATTTCAATACTGTTCCACAATTGAACATATGTTAAAGTTTGCATCATGAACTGATCTTAGTTTGATAATCAGTGAAAACTAGGAAACACTCGGTAACTGTTTCGTCCTAGCATTGGGACTCCTCAACGGCACGTATTCTATGCCCCACCGGGGTCGGACCCAAAACCTCCATGTCTCACACTAAGCGTATTAGCTCTTAGGCCATGAAGTCACCAACCAATAATCCATATGTCTAATTTCAGTCAATAACAATCTGTCAGTTATTTGAGATAAATTGTGTTCTGTTGCTTATATTTTTATACGGAATTTCAGTCATGTTCCTAAGAAGACATAAGATAATATTACTTTACTCATCTATTTCTGTACTTATAGATGAATTACTGAAAGAAATCGTCAAGAAATGATTTTAGCTTCATTTGGCCCATAGTTTGTAAACATTATGATTCATGACTCGACTTCGAGTACATATAAGTAACTAGATTTGCATTTCACGACACTATTTCTAACCCTTATTTAAAAACATGTAGCTCAAAGCCGACTATGTACAACTATATTTGAGGTAATCGGTTAACAATAAAATCAGACTAGATACATATAACTACTAAGCTTACTGATAAGCTTCCATTGATATATCTACTTTTGGAAAGAAAATTTCAACGACTCAGTTTGCATTCTGAGTTGTCGCTCAATGGGTAAAGCATTTGACTTCTGATCTTTAGGTCCCAATTCCGAACCCCGCTCCGCTTACTACTTTCTAGCCAACTTGGTAGTATAATTAACCCTAGCACTTGGAGTGTGGCTTACACCTAATTACCTGATAAATGAGTTAATTTTGGTGATGGTAATATATATTTGTCATCTCTTTTTTCAAGCTATCTGATAAGCTTATGTAACCTTTATAAAGTTACTTATTATTTCCTCAGTGATAGCTATTAAACCTCAGTGACTTTGTAGAATACAAACACCGACAACATACTTTATCGTTTGAATTCATAGACTAACATTCTCATTTACAATTCTGTTTAGATTTGAACTATGTCTTAAATAATCCTATGATTATTTCCTCTTTGAGTTTTAACTACTCCTAACAACTTATAAGCTTAGTGTTTGGTGTTAAATAATTAAAAATGATTAACAAAAATCTTCATACCCAAGTTCTTTTCTAGTTAGGTCTTGTTAGAAAAGGTGTATTTTACTGACCAGTTATCACGAAACCTAAATATATAGGGCCTGCTATTAACTGTAAACAGTAACCTAAATTCAGACAAAATCTTAACCTAATGTTGAACTTGTCAGAAAGGGCTCTGTGGAGATTTCATGTGCCTCCAGGTTTTCCATGGTGGTCTAGCTTGAATTGACTCATGATTTCAACTATTGAAATTTCTAAAATCTCCACAAAACCCCTTCCGATAATAATTATCTCACTAGTGACTGACTTCAAGAGGCATTTCCTGGAGTTCTAGTGAGAAGCAATGACCAGTGGAGTTCAACCAGGTCTGTTGTGAGATATCAGCTCACTGTAGACAATGATGTACGGTGGTTCAATTTCGTGGATTGGTTGAAGTTAGACACTAACATCGTTGAATGCCGACTGGCTCAATGGTCTAATGGTTAAGCGCTCGCGCACGAGACTAATAGGTCCCGAGTTGGAATCTCGCGGGGGGAGAATCGTGGATGCGCACTGCTGAGGAGTCCCATACTAGGACGAAGTGGCCGTCCAGTGCTTCCAGGTTTTCCATGGTGATCTAGCTTCAATTGACTCATGATTTCAACTATTGAAACTAATGCTGAACTGTTTAGATTTTACTACAACTTGGTTAATATTATCTAGCCATCACTAAACATTACACAACATACTAATCTATCAGACTATTGACTGTTGAATTTAGTTATCTTGGTAGCCATTGAATATTTTTAATTCAATCCTATGGAATAAAAATTGAAATTATTGGCTAGAAAGTTAAGCTTAAGAAAAAAAGGTCACATCTTATCA